AGTTTTATTACTACCATACAGTTACGTCACTGCCAGGCAGGTTAGTCTTGAGGAGGAACTAATGACTGGTCAGGAATGCAAATCCTGTGTGCTTCTGATGCTGGACTCTTTCTACCAAAGCATGTGCCTACTTTGGACCCTTCAGATCTTGAGGAAACTGCTGGGCACTTGAGCTAGGAAAGAGCTTCCTTCCTAGCTGGTGACATCCTGAGGGTTCCACAACTAGCTTGTGCCTGAACCCAAGCCACAGAGGTTATAGCCAGCTGATAGGCTGAGGTTGTGCCACTATGTTACTGAATGCCTCAGTGGCATCATAGGCCAGTGCTATCCGTACTTTGGAGTTTTCTTTTCATTATCTAAAGCTTCTGGCCCAAGGATCAGTCTTTAGGTTGAATTAATTCTGAGGTGAGAGCCTTTGGGATGCTTTGGTGCTGGAACCCCCCCCCCATACACACACACACACCCACACACTGACCCAGTGTTTACATGTTCATGGAATGGGGCTGAGAGGCATAGTTGTCCCAGACACTGGGTCACAGCATTTGAGACAGGCCACAGAGTATGATTCCCCTCATCAGGAAACTCTTTGCTTCAGGAAGTGCAAAACTATATGTTTAGAAAATAGCATCAAAATCAGATTCCCCTCACATACACACTCTCAGAGACATCTGGCCTCAAAGGTAACTTCTCAAAGGTAGGTGACAGAGCCAGAGGGCTTGAGGGTGAGGGAGGGTTTGAAGGGGTTCTATTTAGAACTGCAGGGACCCCTTCTCCACTCCTAGGTGAAAGTGAGGAACAGGTGGGGCCAGTTCCACTGACTTGAAACATCGCGCCACAAATTCCAGAAAATTAAATACATTTCACTTTAGAAGGAGACATACCTAATGTCAATCCTTGTGCACACCTGTGACCAAACCTGAAATGTTTGAGAACAGTAGGTTGGGAGTCAGCAGTTTAATGTGAGGTGAGTACTGATCCAGCATCCTGAAATCTGCCTCAGGTCCTTGGATTAGTGACATGCAAGTCCAAAGAGTTTAGTTGCATATTCCTAAGAGCTTCTTTCTAGTAATTTCCAAAATTAGCTTTTAAGAAGTTTAATTTTTGCCAACTAAAATTAGTCCACTGCTAGCTAGAATTACCAAGAAGTCTGATTCAGCGCTTTCCTGCAGCTAAACTGCCAGGCTCCTGGACCACAGCCTGAGGGCAAAGCATAGACAGCCTGGCACTACACAAGTGATTGCTGTTTTCTGGGGGAAAATCAAAGCTCCATTGTTTATGCATCAGCAGTGTTATCAAGATCTTGTCACTGTTTTCTGGTGCTTATGTTCTTGCTACTAGTTAAAAATAAATTTTGGTGTAAATCCATCATTGTTTTAGGTTTTTGAGCTAACCATTAGTAGTATAATGCTTTTTTATTTGGGCCTGGAATTATAAGGACTAAATGGATGACATTGTGCCTTGTAGCGCCAGTGTAAATCATCCACCCTACTGTTGCTAGTATTGGTGGATCCATAATAACCACTGCCCCAGAGAAGTTCACATCTCCAGAGAGTCACCTCTTTGGTATCATGGTATTCTTCTCCCTTGAGAATCAGGGTAGTAGGCTGTGGAATCTGAGCCCTGCCTAAGTGGACTCTGACCAAAGCAGTTTGCTTCTAGAAGTGAAGCCATGGCAGGGTGTGGTTCTATAGGTGCGTGGTTCTATAGGTGCGTGCAATCATCAGAACCCATAAACTATGTGGTTAAGAGCTATAGTTTTTATTGAATGTAAATTATACTTCAATTTAAAAATAAATGAATTTCAACAAGGATAGAAGGCCTGAGGAAACAAAGACCAGGGCCTTGAGAGAGTGATTTGTTTTCATGAGAATAGAGATAGGAATTAAGAATAGAGAAGAAATCCAGCCAGGAACCATAACCTTTTGGTGAAGATGAGGAACCATCAGACAAACCCTGAGGGAGAAGTGCTGTGTTAGCAAGAAGCAGGGTAGTATACTCTGAAAAACTGGTAGTGTCATTAAAAACACAACCAAAAAACAAGAAAAGACTATGGAAATAGTTCAGATTATGGAAATAGTGCAGATTAAAATACTGCATTCTCTACTGAAGGGGAGATCAAATGAAAAATGATAGTAGGTTTGATAAAAGTATTATTAATGTAAACATATGAGATGGATAATTTTACTACGGTTACATTAAGACAGGATTTCTTCTCTTAGGAAATATATTCAGAAGTATTTAGGGATAAAGAATTGTGATGTATGCAACTCACCCTGAAATAGTTCAGAAAATAAAATTATGTGTGTATATCATAAAAATATATGTCTGTAAATGCAAAGAATTTCCCTATTACTTGTTTAGGAAGTAAAAAAAAAGTACAGGCTTGCTTCTCATTTGGGACTTGTTGACAAATCAAGCTTAGCTGTTGTATTTTTCTAACATCTGTACCTCCATACAAGGAATATTTGATCAGGACACTGTCCCTCAATTAGTAACCCCTAAAAGCCACATCTTACCCTTAGCTGGAGGGGATGAGGCAGCTGGAAAGAGTTTCAAGGACTTTGCAGTTGCTATGGCTTGGATAAGTGTGCCCAATGATCCATATGTTAAAGGTTTGGTTTCCAGGTTGGTGCTATCAGTAGTGATAGAACCCTTCGCAGGCGGGGCCTAGTGGGACATATTTAGGTCATTGGGGTTGCACCCTTGAAGGCAGTATCAGAATCCCAGCCCCTTCCTCATTCTCTCTTGCTTGCTGGCTGATAAGATGAGCAGTTTGCTCTGCCATGCATTCTCACTATGGTGCCTGCCTCATCACAGGCCAAAAATAATGGGGCCAATGGATTATGAAAGGAATTTCCCAAACTGAGCCAACCTTCTCTCTCAAGAGATTTTGTTATACAGAAGGTTGACTAATACAACAATCTAAACTTGGGTCAACACAGAGCTGTGTCAGCATCCTGGTGACTATAATCTCCATGACAATCTTATTGCTTTAATAGTCACAAATAGGTAATTCTCAAGCAATAAAAGCTGAATTGTTTATATTACGTACTTAGAAGGATGTAAGAAAATTTCCTTATTGCTTACCCTGTAGAGAAATGGAAAGAACACTGACTTTTTGTTGACAAGGCCAGTAGGCAATTTAGCTAGTGTTTTTTCAACATCTGTACCTCTGAACAAGCCAATCATTATCTGTCTTTCAATCAGTAACTATTGAAAGCCACATCATATCCATAGCTGATTCATGAAAACCTCGACTTCTGTTAAAGTCAGTGTTAGCTGGCGATGAAAGCAGCCCAAACTAACTTTATGCAGTAGGATAATGACCTTGGATCTGTCTAATGGCAAAACTTTCCTGGGTGACATCGTGGATTTGGAAAGGAGGGGGTGCCTGACAACCTCTCGGTGGGCTTTCAAAGGCCACAGTGTCCAATCTTGCTCAGAGGAGGTTGTGCCCCAGTGTGACTTTCATTCCTGCTCTCTTCCTAAGGGATGCACTGTGAAAGGAGCACGGGAATGTCAAGGCTCAGCTTTCTGCCTGTGCTGTGGTTGACTGAGCAGGGTTCCTTCCTTTCTCTCCAGGGAGGTGGAAACACAGGAGGAGTTGGTTCAAGCACCCTTCCTAGACAAATTGAAACTCCCGCCACTCTCACTTCACAGACTTCTGGGAAGAGTTAAAGTACAGGTCACCATTTACTCCCAAATCTCCAATTGGGACTGTGGAATCATGCAGCTGAATGTTTGGTCCTAACCTTTTCTCCAAAGGGATGTTTGGGAGACTTGAAATTCTAACTATGTGCAATGAAAGGCTACTGCTGCCTCTTTGCAGAATTCATAAAATAAATTTGAGACACTGTTTGCAAGAACTAAGCCCAGGTAGCAAAGCAGGCTTTTATTCTGTTTCTTTCCCAGTCATGTCATGGTAGTTCTTTGAGAAAGAAGTACTGAGAGAAAGAGTCGCTTTTTATGCACTGGGACTGGGAGGACTTTCTGGCCAGGAGCTAAAGCTGTGCTAATGGTCCAAAGCAGGGGAAAAGAAGAGACTCAGGGTCAGCAAGAAGAAGATCTGACTAAGTGGGGAGAAAGCCTCTGCTGGCTACATGCCCCCCTACAAGAAGCACAGCATAAACTACAATCTGCCAGCCCAGACCCCAAGGTCAGAAAAGAGATAGACAGGAGGTCTGGGCCGCTGGACTTTGAAGGGCCAATGGCTTCAGTGCTGCCCTACAGCTGTTTTAGGGTGCAACCTAACCAGGGATGAAGTGAGTCAAGGAGGACTTGCCTGGTCATCTAGTCATTGGGCCCTGTATCCATTTCTCACCAGCCACTTTGTTCTCAGTCATCATCATCTGTTCATCGGTTACCGAGCCCTGATAGTATTTTAATCACCACACTGAACACTTAGCATGTGTGACCTCATTTATACTCATGGCAGCCTGTCCCTTTTTTAAAGATAAGGAAATAGGTTCTGAAAATGTTGACCTGACAGGATCAAAAAGTTGTAAGTGTTGAGACTAGGACAGCCCCAGATCTCATACATTATTGACACAGAATATAGGTATTCTTACTTATAGGTATATGTGCATGTGTGTGCACATGCGTGTGCACGCACACACACACACACACAGTATGTTAGATATTTTTCCAGCTTCTTCAAGAAAGAAGGTGTGGCTTGTATAAATGGTCCTAAGCATTCTGTAGCCACTTCTGCTTAAAAAGATACAGTGATGGTTGACAAGAAAGCTCTAGGAATCCTAATGCAACCTGTGCCTTATTTCCTGGCTAGGATTATTTCTAATCTGGCTGTGTAGATTAGTAGGGGCTTCTTTGGAGGACTTCAGAATCCCAGTATGAGCTGCCAAAAAGGTCAGAAGTTTTGACAAAAACTGGTGGGCCATGACTGGGTACTATCACTGGTCAGGGCTGGCTGCAGTGCCAGGAAATTGTGAATCTTTTACTCTCCTGGGTCACTTGTTATTTTCTCCCTTCTGCCTTCACAGCCAACCTTGGTTTGAAATCCAGAGCACTTGCCTTTGGTGAGCAGCCAGTGTACCAGGGACCGGTACACTGCATTGTAACCATCATGCGGAATGAGGGCCTGGCTGGTCTGTACCGGGGGGCCAGCGCCATGATGCTGAGAGACATCCCAGGCTATTGCCTCTACTTCATCCCTTATGTGTTCCTGAGTGAGTGGATCACACCTGAGACCCACACAGGGCCCAGCCCTTGCACAATGCTGTTGGCAGGTGGTGTGGCAGGTAAGTTGAAAGTGGCTGGAGCCCTGTCCCTGAGCAGCCATTGTGGTAGAACAGAGACAGAGCCTGCCATGCCCTTCTCAGCTCTCAAGGAGGCAGGACTCGTGCAGCCACACATACAGCAGCTCCTCCTACTTTGTACAAGGCCCAGAGAGGCAGAAGGGCTATGAATGGGGAATGGCCCCTCAGCCTCTCATCCTCTTCCCTTTGGAGCTATAGGATGCAGTCCCTATGTGGGTTCATGGCCCTTGCAGACAACAGGTGTATTTTGAGCACCTAGTCTGTGTCAGGCACTGGTGAATTTTTGGGAGGAAATCTGTTCCATGGTTTTCCTTTCTTGAATATTGGTGCACTATGAGCCTTTCTTTTTAAAAATTTTTTATTAGTACATTTTTGCAGTACATAATGATTACATTCATTGTGGGGAGTTGGTACACATACATAATACATCTCTTCTTTTTTTGTCTTTTTTGGTATTGGGGATTCAACTCAGGACCTTGAGCTTGCAAGGCAGGTGATGGATGACACCACTGAGCTAAATCCCTAGCCTATACATAATACATCTTAATTCTTTTGTTCTTTCATCCCCTAAACTTCTACTGCCTTCTTGCTCCTTCTGTCTCTTGGTCCCCCTCCCATTGGCACAAGATCTATTTTCATTTTTGTCCTTCGATTCTTTTTCCACTCTCTTTCCCTCCCCTACTTCCCCCTTTTCTCCATCTCTTGTTCCCCTATACATTTGAATAAGATTGCCCTACTTACTATGTATCTACCCTCTATTTTACTCTTTGTTTACATATATATTGAGTTTCTCACTTAAGGGAAATCATGCATAAGGTTGCACCACAAACCTTTCTAATATAAAAATTTCATGAGGCCTGTAAGATAGCAATCAATCTCACCATTTTACAGATGAGAAACTCAGGTTCAGAGATACTAAGTACCAGCCCAAGGTTCTACAGCTAGTAAAGAAAGTGCAGCAGGGATTCTAGAATCGGAAAGACCCAAGTTCCGACCCATATGTGCTCATTCGGTGACCATGCTCTTGTTGCCTAATCTCTTTATTCAGAATCCTGCCCTTCATCCACATTTCAGTTAGGGTCAAGGTCAACATTCCTGCAGTGGTTTTCCAGGCCCTCTCTGTTTTCCCTCTCTGTTACTCTCTCACCTCATCTCTGAATTCTCCCTTTGCTCCCTCTGATCTAGACCTAATGTTCTCTTTGCTACAACTTGACCATGACCTGCTCTCCCCTCATCACAGGGCCTTTGTACTTGCTATCACGCATTTTGGATTTAATTATGTGGAGGTCATTGGGGGCTTTGATGAGAATCATTTCAGTTGAGAGAAGAGTGTTAAAAATCTGACTGAAGTGGGATCAAGGGAGAATAGGTTGAAAGAAATTGGACAGCTATAGTCAGAGGAGTGTATGGAAGTCAAGAGAAGGCTGCTTTTTAATAAGGCAGATGTTTGGTGCTGATGGGTAAGATCCAACAAAGAGAAGGCAGCCTTTACTCCTCTTCATTCTCCTCTAACCACCACCATTAGTAGCTATGCTTTAAACTCAGCAAACAGCGCAAAGTCCAGTCTTAGCCACCAAGCAATGGTGATCGCTTGTGCACTCGTGTGTTGGAGGTTTCTCACTTGCCTCCTCCCACTAAGGGCCCCATAAACACTGATTTGCTGAGAGTACAGGTTCCCTCTGCTCTCATTTCTACTGAGATCAGGTGCAAATAGCCTGGCTAGCACATCGCATTTTGTGGTGCCCCTGATGAGGCTGAGGGACATGAGAGGGCCCAGGGCAGCAGCTGAGAAAGTAGCCTGTTGTCCTGGCAGTTGGAAGAGAGGGTCCAGGTCCAGAGAGGCTCCCAGAGGGCCGTGGGCAGGAGGCTGGAGAGACTGGAGGTCAGCAGAGCAAAGGGCCCAGGGCAAGCCACGTTCGCTTTTGGGAGTTGCAGGGCAGTGATTACAAAACCTAGCAAACCAGCTGTCCTGGACTTTGACAGTGATTTGTTTTTCTTCCCACACAAGAATGTGCCAGTTTCTGTGTTTGTACAATAAAGTGGCCTTGTTTTCCTAGAGCCCTTTAAAGTCACAAAAATGCTCAAACTGAGGTACCTGAACTTATGCAATGAGGATTACCTAGTGGTATGTGGATCCAAGATTCTATTCTACATACTTGGAAAAGAGATTTTAAAAATAAAAACAAATTAAAAAGCCAGTTTCTGATCATGTTTGCCTCTCCTTCTTGGTGAGCAGCCTGTCTGCACGTGTTTGTTTAGTTTCTCCATACTCAGAGAAAAGCCTGCCTCTGGGAGCCGCACGCCCTTGGCAGGGTGCTTCATCCCAGGCTCTCTTCCTGTGCCCTGGGAAGGTGCTGAGCAGCGCTGTGGAGGCTGTGACTGTCTCACCGATAATGTCGTCATGCGCCCAGTACTGGCTGAGGCCTGGGCCATGCCTGAGGTTTCTCAGGCATCAGGTGACCGTTCCTCACAGACTTGGGAAGAGAGGCACTGCACCCCTTTAACAGATGCAGAGCCTGAGGCTCAGATGAAGTAGGAGACTCACTGAGTCTCCCCGTAGCGAGTGCAAGGAAGGATAGGAAACAGCCTCTGCACATCCTAACCCCAAGCTCTGTCCACTTCCCTTAGTGGTGTATGGAGTTCAGACCCACAGAAATCCTAGGGAGGCCAGGCCCCTCCATACCCAGAAAGCCCCACCCTAACACCTGTGCCTTTCTCTCTCTGCAGGAGCAATTTCCTGGGGGACAGCGACTCCAATGGATGTTGTGAAAAGCCGACTCCAAGCTGATGGGGTTTATTTAAATAAATACAAAGGTGTCTTGGACTGTATATCCCAGAGTTACCAGCAGGAAGGCCTTAAAGTAAGCTCTTGGCAGGCCTGTGGAGTTGCCTGGGGTGGTGGTTCAGACATGTGGGGAAGTAACTCTAAGGAAGGGGACAGGGAGCCTGAGGTGCTGGCAGTCACCACAAGCAGGTGCCACATCAGGAACTTCACCTGAGCAGTCTTGTCCAGCTCTCACCTTTGCTCAGGGGAGAAGGTAGGTGAGATAGAGACTTGGAGAAACAGAGGCTCACATAGCTGGGGCTTGGTTGGGACAGGATCAGGACCCACATCTGTGGTCACTGCAGTTTGTTCCTCATTAGGATAGGAGGGGCAGTCCTGTGCCCCTCCTCCAACTGGCTGGTACCGGAGCCACCTTGCATCTTTCCTGCCCCTCAGTCATCTCTTCTCACTGGTTCCATGTCCCCTAAGTTGCCTTCTATTTTTGCATCTCAACGAAGTCCAGGTCCCATCACCTCTGGACACAGCCCATGGAGGCGGCTCTGACCTGGCTTCCCAGGCCTTGTCTTTCTGTTCTCTGCACTATGGCCAAAGAGCTTGGCTTAAACACACACCCCTGCCCCCAAACTATCCCAGAACAAAGACCAGAATCCCCTGTTCCATGCCCATAGTTATAAACAAATTCATCCCCCTCCAGAGAAGCCATCCTTCCTGTTCTTCCTCCATGGGGTGCCTTGTGGTCTTAGCATGGCTCTTAGAGTCAACAGTCTTGGGTTCAAGGTCAGGGCCAGCTACCTATGAACTGGAATAATCCAAGCAAGTGGATCTCTCTGGGCCTCAGTTTCTCCAAGAATGCTCATTCCTACCATGAAGGATAGGGGTGTTTGTGAGTCAAATGAAATTAGACCTAACTAGAATATGCAGAGTTTCATGCATGACCCATCGGAAGCACTTAGGAATATTTGTTATCGGTGTTAGTGGTATCTGTGTTACTTTCAGTAATGTCTGTGCTGGCACTGATCCCGGACCTCTTCCCCTGGCTGCCTCCCCCAGAGCCCTACAGATGACTCTCGTCCTTCTGGGCCCAGCACTTCTTTTTTGTAATTATTTATTTATTTATTTATTTATTTTTGGTACCAGGGATCGAACTCAGGACCTTGTGCTTGAGAGGCAGGAGGCAGAACCACTGAGCTAAATCCCCGGCTCCTACCAGCATTTCTTCTGTCTTCAGGTGCCAGTCTGCCTCTCCAGTCCTCAAGCCTGGTCTCTTCACACTACTGTGGGCAACGGCGCTCATTCTGATGGCTCCTCTTCTTATATCAATATCCTTGGGGTCCTTTTCTACTCCCTCCCTAATTTGAGAAAAATCTAAAGTTCAAGATGACTCAGTGGAGAAGGCTAGCATACTGTGTGAAAAGGCAAGATCCAAACAACCCCAAACACTTGGCCCAAAGGCCCAATCTAGAGGACAGAAGTACCAGAAGTCGACGTAATGTCCAGTCCTTAGTGTTACAAACCAGTTGTATTAAGTAGAGGATGGGCGATCTGACTTGACAAAAGACACCTACAGAAAATGCCTGAAGCCTTCAACTTCCTTTATTGATTTGACAAATCCCTATTTTTAGAACACCTGGTATGTGCCAGGTGCAGGTCTAGGAGCTGGAGCTAGAGCAGTAAAAACTGAAATAAAGCCCAAGTTCTGATGGAGCTACTTGACGGTATGCATTCACAGGAGTACAGGAGGTAGGATAAGGAGGCCGCAGCCTTATCGCATCACAGTTGGACTGTGGCATGTGCATCTGGTCACTACTCATTAATTAAGATGCTGTCGTTGCCCAGAATGAGGACCAGGAGCAGGACTTCATAGAGTGTGAAGAAAAGATGAGCACTCTGGTTAGGACAAGATCTGTTGTAGAGGGAATTTCATTTCTGTCTGCGCGTAAGACAGGGTGGGGACTTGGGGCTTTTCTGTTTTTATTTCAAATTTGTTTGTTTTTTGTTTGGTACCAGGAATCAAACTCAGGTCCTTGCACTTTTGAGAGAGGTGGCAGAACAACTGAGCTAAATCCCTGCCCCTTGCTTTTGTTTTTTTATCAAGAAGCTCTTTGCCAGACAGAGGAAGCATACGTGTAGCCTCAGTTGATTTTTTGTTTGTGTGTTTGTTTTTTGACAGAAAAATAGTTTGTGATTCAACCAACAATTATGGAGGGACACAAAAGAGATTCAAGTTAGATGTTCTCTTTTTACTTGAAGTGCTCTTTTCCATTTCCCAAAATATTAACGTGTCATCATTCAAAAAAACTATAGAGGCAAAATATGTTGTTAATATTATTTCCTCTGAAACTTACTGTCCTTCAGAAAAAACAAAGTCCTACCAGGCAGCTGAGGCCTTACTAACAGGTAACAAATTCCTTAATCTCAATCGTGTTTGGTCTAACAGTGGTGGTGAACCTATGGTACACATACCACAGTGTGTTTCTTGTAGCATTAAAAGCTCTAAAAGGTTTGCCATCCCTGGCCTATAATGTTTATTCAGAGACAGGCTTTAAGTACACATAGCAGTGTTTAGCTTGATTAATTATCTTACTGGCTGCATGTTCCAAGATTCATTTTTCAAATTTTTGTTAGTTGATTAAAATAGGTATGGTGGCATGCATGCTCTGTGAAGCTGAGGCAGGGGGACTGCAAGTTTGAACTCAGCCCAGGCAGCCGAACAACTCAGAGAGACCTAGTCTCAAAAAAGAAAAGTTTTTAACAGGGAAGGGGTGTTTTCTGGGGAATGTGTTCAGTGCAAAATCCCTGGGTTCTATCCCAAGCAGTGCTACCCTTAAATAAAAATAGGTAAACATAGACACCTTCCACAGGCATGAGAGGATATCTGTCTCGAAGTCCTTCCTGTGGCCTTCACTCTTCAAGGGTGGTTACCTGTATGAATTTCACAGCAATATTCATGGCAATATATGTATGGACGTATATTTATGTAAGTTTCTGTATGTGAGTGTTTTCATATAAACATAGGTAGTAATGAGTTTTGCACCATCCAGGTAGCTTGTATTGTCTCAAAGATAGTTTCCAGCAGCAGCAGTCATAGAAGGAGGAGTCACTATCGCCCCCTGCTGGGGAGAGGAGCATGGGCTCTACTCTCTGAAGCTCCAACCTCCATGTTCTTCAGTACAGTGCTGGTTGTAGGCTCAAAGCCCTACTCCACCATCATCCAAGCTGTTCTCATTTTCCTACAGAAGAAGGTCTGGGGGAAACCGAAGAGAGTAGACCAGTACAGCGGTGCACAGCCTGAGTCACCCTGTCACTCACTGAAAGATGCCTAGGAAAGCAGCCTTTGTGACCACCTGTGGGACACCGCAAGAGAAAACAGAAGAAAGGCCTGGCAATCTGGGACCCATGTTTTTGACCACTTTGGGCCATGATTCCTCCCTGGATAGTCAGGATCTGAAATGAGGAGGCTGGAGGTGCATCTTGGTATCTTTCAGCCCCACCTCGGTAGTTGCACTGCAGGGTTTGTGATGATGCACTGAGGTTGGGGAGAGATGGAGAGGAACATCTGTAGATTCCAGAGACACCAGGGTGGATTGTTCAGGGATTCTGCCTCTCTGAGTCCAGAGCCCTCTCCCCACCCACCCACCACCACTATAGGACCCTGACACTTCCCTTCTCATACCCAAGAGTTTGTTAATTTTCTCATTCATCCGTTGACTCACTTTATGAGCTTTTATAGAAGGTCTGTCTGTGCTGGGCCAAGTGCTGGCAGGTGCTGGGGACTCAGAAGGCTGTGCTCATTGCCCTAGGATGGGGTGACGGGAAAACAAATCGTGGGTGATAGGCAACCTGAATGGAAAGTGATGTGATGGGGAAGATATAGAATGCATAGAAGGCCAAGGCCATACTCCACCCATGGGAGGGTGGACAGAGGCTGTGAGCCTGTGCTGGAGAGTATGGAGTAGAGGAGACCAGAGGAGGCCCAGGGATGGGAGCGAGCTGGCCATGCCAAAGAATGACAGGGGGTTGGCTTGCCCAGACTGTCCCACGTGAGAGGCATCCCCCAGAAAGTGCAGGGCCAGAGCATGGGGGTCCTCATAGGTCAGGGAGGGTGGGGACTTGATCCTGAGCAGCAAGGAGCCATGGAGGCTTTATGAAGGCAGGCTTGGCCTGGAACTGTGCGCTCTGGAAGCTCTGGGTAAAAGGCGACAGGTCTGTGTGTTGTTTGCCCTTTGAGCGCCTTGAAGCCCAGCAGGCGTCAGATGCTGGAGGGAGGTCTGTTTGTGGAGCACTAGGTCCACACTCCAAGCTGGGACCTCATGGCTCAGCCTCTCAGAGCGTGCCCGAACCAAGCTGTGGTGCCTCTGTGGGCACCATCGTGGAATTTTCCTCCCAGAGCTTGACCCAGTTCCTTGCCATTACTCAGTTACTCCAGGTGAGCCTGTGGAATTCTAAAATCAGGCATTGCAGAGTAGTGCTAAGGTTACTGGGATCCCGCCCCCACTCTGCTGCATGGCTCCAGGCTTCAGCTTGGCCACTTGGCCACTTCTACAACTCTGGTCCATTGACTCCTTTCCTGGACCAAGCTGCATCCCAGGCTGCTGTGGTCACCTGGCACCTTGGCTAATGCAAGCAGCCTTCACGGTTCTGTCCCCACCAGTACCAAGAGGTTGAGGAAACTGAGGAAACAAAGGGCAGGTTTCTGCTTTCTTAAGATGACTAATTCTGTTCTTAAACAGTGTTTTGTATAGGGGTCAGAGCAAGTTGAAATTATGCACCTGGCTCTTCTTGTGTCATTTATGCTTGGGTAAGAATTTGTCTTTAGATGGCTGTTTCTTCCCAGAAAACAATTAAAGAACATTTCCTCACACCCCAGGCTTCACTCAAGGCCCTGTCTGTCCCCCCACTGCCTGGGCCTATTGTAATTGCTCCGGAATGGGGCTTATCTCTTCTAATAGGCTGCAAACCGCTCACATGTGTCCATGTTCACCAGCACCAAGCAGGAATATTCAGCGAGGAAAGGGAGATCGTGGGAAGCATCTTGTCCTCCTAGGGATGGGAGACAAAGACAGGGACAGGAATCAACAAAGGCAGAGCTCAGCAGCTTGTCAGTGTGGGTCATTCTCACCAGACAGTCAGATGATCCGATGAGGGAGGCTGAGTCCTTCTCCCTATTAGGTGAAGACTGGAGATCGTGAGGGTGATGGTAGTGGTGTCGGCAGCCACTGAGCGCTCACTGTGCGCTGGGCACCAAGGCAGGCTGCTTTGGAAGGGTTCCCTTTTATTCCCTCAAACTACCTCAGCAGCTCGATGCCACTATTATCTCCATTTTCCAGTTGGGGAAGCCGAGTTCCAGAGAGTTTGCCACTTAGCTGAGCTGCACAGGCTACTGTGTTGGGGGAACTGTACCCCAACTCCATTTAGGTAGTCTCAAGCACTGCCCATGTTGTGTACCTGCACTTTGGGGATGTCACATGATGCACCTGTCACAATAGCTGGACATGGCTAGGGGCCCTGTCTAATTAGGATTTCCAGATTTGGGGGCAGAGGGGAGAGGGAAGAGGAAGAAATGATCAAGAAAGTGTAATGCGGGGGGAAGTGTATGTGTTAGCAGGTCTCAGCAATTCTGCCCTTAATCTTCAGTGTGCGAACAGCAGAGCCCAGGAGGAGAAATGCCAACAGATGTAACACAGGCCAGGGCAGGGGCATGACTGGACCATCCCTTGTGGTCTTTGCTTGCTTGCATAGGTCTCTGGGTTTTGGTCAGGGCCAGGGGCCAGGGTGGGCAGTATATCGCAGAGGGTATGGGTTGGCCCTGGAATAACTGGCTTCCTGGGCAAAGGTGTTTTTCAGAGGCATCACCGTGAATGCTGTGCGGGGCTTCCCTACAAGCGCCGCCATGTTTCTTGGGTATGAGCTCTCACTACAGGCACTCCGTGGGGACCACAACGTGACAGACCCATGAGCACCAGGTCAGTGTACTTCCTTCCCAGCCATGTGTGAACTTGAAGCTCCTTTCTTCACTATGAAAACCATGCCATCTCTGAAATGCCCCTCTGTCACTGTGGTGGGGCTGGGGCCGGAGTGCCCATCCTTCAAAATCATCCTACCACAATTCTGAAACACCCTGAGGTGACTAGTGGGGTGATGAGTCCCCAGGATTGCAGTGGGCACAGAATGTACCTGGTGCCCACTTTCCCATCAGCTTCCACAGTCCCGGAGAGAAGTGTGTTTAGTTTCTCTGAACAAAGGCAGTCACTCAGGCATCAACCAAGGTGCCCGTCCCCTTGCCCACACGGGACACCATCTCCCTACTGAGCTTTAGGTCAGAGGCTGGCAGCAGCCGACAGACTCCCACAGCCCTAAAAGACCAGTGTTTGCCACCATTCCTTGCCACCTGCACCCCCTCCTTTTGCCTTTCTCATTGCAGAAAGATCCATGCAGCCTGAGGGAGCCTTGAAAAAGGGAAATCTGAGTTCTAACACCCTCAGTGGCTCCCCAGTGCCCGTTAGACTCAGCCTATCATGCACACGACTTCCTTCTCCAGGCTCGGGATTCACCGCAACCCTGGACATCCCGTCCTCTCTCTCACGTCTAGGTCTGTGCTCATGCTGTGCCCCCAGCCAATTCCCTCTTCTCTCTTTCCTCCTCCCTTGTCTGAGCCTCACCAGCCCTCAGTCCTCCAGCCCTAGATATAACGGCCTCTCCCTTCAGCACACCTGCCTGACGTATCAGTGGGGATGAGGCACTCCTCTGTAGACCTCCAGCCCAGCTCTGTGGCTTCCTAGCTGCCTGCTGGTCCCGCTAGCTTCCAACCAGGTAAAGGTCCCAGCAGCACTACAGCAATTTCCCGCCCCTCGCTGTGATGGCTTCTTGTGGAGCTGGCCCACAAATGGCCACTCAGCAGCGGTAGTGGACGGAGCACAGTTACTCTCCAGTGCCTCCTCCGTGCCTCTTTTTCCTGCTGTTACTTTTGTTCCTTTGTTCTCTTTCTCTGGCCCCAAACCTTCTCTGCTTACCTGCCAAGCTCAAAAGATAAAGAGAGGTGAGTCACCAAACTTTCTAGTCAGCCGAAAAGACATTTTATTTCAGCCTCAATGACTACAGATTCTTTCAGGGAACACGTTCCTCATCAGGGAAGTCTAGAAAACCTCACTGTTGCCTCCCCTGTGGGCCAGGGGCTGGAAGGGGCCTTTGTGGGGCACAGCATGTTGATGGGAAGCATGGCAGCAGTACCCAGTCCTGGAGGAAAGGAGAGGGCACCATCAGTCAGGCTGACCATGGCAAGCCCTGGACCAGCCCTGGGAGCAGGCTTTAAATAAAACACTTTCAGCTTTTTACTAGAGTACCAACATTCACGGCTTTTCTGGCTCTTTGCCCTCTTTTGTAGAAGGAGAAGGGTAGCGACACATTCTGCATAATTAAACGTTGGCGAAGGGTCCCTGCATCTGTGTCATGTCCGGGGCATGGTAGAGATGTTGTCTTGCTTGTCTTGTTCTTAAAGCTATGCTCACACACCAGCCACTCCCCACTTCTAAAAATCTTATAATAAAGTCAACATATATTTACTGTAGACAAAACAGAAAGAACAAATTCAGAGACATGCAGTCATAGGAGCTTGTTACTTTTCTTTCACACATTTTTAGTGGGTATCCCCCAAATCGGACTCTGCTTTACACAGCGTATTATGGCCTGCTCCGCCCCATCTAATAGTTTAAGACCATTTTCCATGTCATTAAACCTTCAGCTCCAAAATAGTTTTACTGCCAAGACTTCACAGATCCCAGAGTGGCTGGATGCTTTCCGAGTTGTCATACTAGGTTACTTGTGGCCACCCTGATGACTGGCTACTTAAAGAAGGAGGAAGTTTCTCATGAGCCAAGTCATGATGGTTCTGGGTTTGGCTGTTCAGAAAATTAGAAACTTTTCTTCCTGAAAGTGCTCTTTCTTGCATGAGCTTGGGCATCTGTCTTCCTTTGGAGGTGGGCTGTTGTGATGAGGGAAGAGGCTAGTGTCCCTTAGGTAAATTAGAGAGGGTCTCAGCAACTGCTCTGGGGCCTTATTTTGAAAAATCCTAGACCCAAACATTCGACTTCCTGCTCTAACCCAAAACCAGGAATGTGAAGGCCTTTTTATTGTTGCTTCAGTACTGACTATGGCAACGCCTTGAACCCAGGGCCTTTTCATTGAGCTACATTCTCAACCCTTTTTGCTTTTTTAAGATAGGATCTCACTATGTCACTAAGTTGCCTAGGCTGGGCTTGAATATGTGATTCTCCTGCATCAGCCTGCCAGAGTACTGGGATTATAAGAGTGTGCTACCTTGCCCTGCTCAAGGCCTTTTAAGAAGACCAGATGGCTATAAGATTTTGGGCAGGTCATGCTCCAGGCAGCAGCGGTATATACTCTGACAATGTGGAAACAAGTGCCTACCTCATCATGGAGACCAAAGCAGAGTAAAATAATGCATGTTAGGGGAAGAGGGAGTCCTCTGGTTCCTAGGAGGGAGAGGGACAGTCACTGTCTCCAGAGTCCCTGGGCACAGGTGACAGAAACGACATGAGAATTATTTCCACGTGCCTTCAGGGGATAAAACACCCAGCTGCTCTAAGAGCCACAGAAGAACACTTCTTATTCACCCCCGTGTTATTTCTCTTCTAGGCCACATTTCCTAGTGACCCAGGGACAGTGTGAAGCCGAATAAGCAATATGTGAGGCTGTTGTTTTGTGATAAGGTTAATTTTATCTGTTCACACGGAGAAAGTAGAGTCAGACAGTTCAAGAAAGATTTTTGGTCGCAGAAATAGGGTCCCAATCACTGGCCAGCAGCCAGTTATCAGGCTTTTCTGAGGCTCCTGAGTCCTGCTGTGCCATCCTTGCCTGCACACCAGGATTCTAGCCCTAGAACCTTCCTGGAGTAATGCTCATCTGCTCTCTGCAGTGAAATGCATGCTTCAGACCTCAGCAACCTGCCTTCAATTTCAGAAAAATTCATATTTAGGAGAAGGAGACACATCCTCCTTATAATACCTTTTTTTGAATAATCCCAGACCTCCCTCCTGGCCCTTCAGCTGTGTGTTAATGGTGATACTTGGACCATCAGTGCCTCACAAAGACATTCTCACAGCAGGTAGCTCAACCTTAGAGGCTGCTGCTAATAAGCTTGGAAGATGATCTTCTTATATTTCCTCCTTTTTCCCCAGGGTTGATATCACCTGAACAAGGCCTCATTCCACAGCAGGTCAATGCTGGTGGCATCTACAGAGTGAGTGACAGTGAATTTACCGCAGAGAAAGAAGGACCTTGGCCATCCAGGCTCTCAACCAGGTGGGCCCTCAGGTATCATGCTGGTCTTGGCACACCCTCCTTCACAATTCACGCACTCAGTCCTCACTTCCGGCTGGACCATTGAGTTGCTGCTTTGGAAGGAAGCAATGGACCATTGGCCAGGCAATCACCATCTACTTTGGCTCTGGGCCAGCACCTGGAAAACACTGGAGCAAAATAGACCCTGCGCCCATGGCTGCTGTAAACTCATTAGGAATTTATTCGGGAGCTGGAGTTAGTTCTAAGTTTCCAAATAAAAGCATTGAAAACCTCTTCCAGGTTGTTTCTGTGTCTGATGGCTCTGCCTAGCTTCCCAAAAGCACCAGCCACCTACCTTCATTCCTGTCTCTCCTGAGGCCCTTGGAGATGTTGCTGGCCTAGACAGAAACCTGCTTCACTCAGCCGAACAAGGAAACTATGGATGGCAGTCTCACTTCCTTTCTACTATGTGCCTTAGGTTGGCAGGGGACGGTACAGGGGTTGGAAAGGGGAACTAGGGAAAGACAAGTTGGAAGCATTCTCTCCTGTTGTTGGCATAGGTGGTGTGCTTCAGAGATGTTGACCCTGAGCTCGAAAGGCATTGGGTGTTATCTGGGTCTCATCTTCACATGGAGAGCTAAACAAAGCCAAATGCTTTGTCCACACAAAACATTTCTAGAGCGATTTCACCGTTCTGTATTTTATTTCCTATTGGAACTATGTGGGAGGATGTATTAGTTATTTTTCTGTTATTGGAGCAAAATATCTGACATACGCAACTTAAAGGAGAGAGTTTACTTTGGCTCATGGTTTTGGAGGTTTCAGTCCATGGTTGGCTTCCTCCAGGACAGAAGCACCATGGCAGAAGTGGAGGAAAGCTATTCAACTCACAGCATCCAGGGAAAGTGTGTTTTTACTTCTGGGTATGTTTGGGTGAATCATGAGGGTGTGGGAATATCTTAGGGATCATGTCTAGTCTTTGATCCCTTTCTTTCTATCTCTTCCCCTGTTCTCTGCTTTCTGGAAACCATGAATTGAGCAGCTTGAGCAGGCAGTCATCCAAGAGTTCTTCCAGGAGGCACCAGCCACCCTCATTTTTAATCTCTCTTAGGCCCCTGGAGATGCCACTGGCCCAGAGAAACCTGCTCCACTCAAGTGAGCAGAGGAACTATGGACGGAGGCCTCTCATCCATCCCCCAGGTCAGTAGGGGACAGCACGGTGGTTGGAAAGGGCAACCAGAGACAGACAGCCTTGAAGGCACTCTCTCCAGCAGGGGGATGCCCGTGCATCCAGTCACTCAATCATCACACATTTGCTGAGTTCCTGCTGTGTGGAGGTGCCATCTCAGGTTTTGGAAACATACAAGGGGCCCAGCAGAGACTCCTTGCTGGTGCATTAGAAAGCCTCTGTCAGCAGGAGAGCTGGGTCTTTCTGTCCACCCCAGCATCACTGGGCCTGGGCAGGTGCTGAGGATGCTCCTGGCATCTAATTCACCTCCAAGTGGACCCAAAGTCTCTGCCATAACACATCCTAAAATATCTTTCTTAGGTCTTCCTCGGCAAGGCCATGTGCTGGTGCTGATTCTAGTTGCTCAGTTTGTTTGGAGGTAGAGCTGACTTCGTGAGGCTAGCCAGAGCCTTGCACTGGACACTCCTGGTGAGGCTGAGGAACAACAACTGTTTTCAAGTGTCTAGGCCCTTCCCAGGTTTTCTTCATCATCTTGGTGGCCGTTGATGATAGGAGGAGGTAACAGAGTGAAGCACCGTCGACCCAGCTTACAGATGAAGAAACTGAGGCTCCAATGCACCTGAGCCCCTGATAAGGACTCAGGTCACCAGTTTCCCTGGTAACCTCCCCGAAGGAGCTCTAACCTTGTGGTCCAGCTTAGGGGACTGGCAGCAAAAGTACTGACCATTTCACAGTGGGAAAGAGAGAAAGTTGTTGGGACACAAAATTTTGGAGTCTCAAGCCACCACTGAAGGCCTTCTATAAATGATATCAGAGCTTCCTTTCCATATGTCCCCCAATGCTCTGCCCCAGGTTCCCTGTATTTTAGCCACTTCCTCCATTCTATCTAGCGCTAGGTACATAATGGGTATCCAAACGTTTGTTGCGGAAATCACTGATTGATCCAGTAGATGCTCTGGGCCAGGTGTTGTCTAGCCACCTCCCTTCAGGACTCCCTGCTCTATGTTTTTCTTTAGCTTGGACAACCCTAATCCTTCTCCATTCAAGGCCCAGTTTAAGGCTTCCATAATTCTCCCTCTGCTTTCAACACCTTTCTTGGCCCTCCCACCCGTAGAGCTCCTGTAGCCCAATGTCCCGCTTGGTGTCACGGTCACCTCTGTGACCCACTCTTTCTCACTTGCCTGTGCCCACCTTGTGAAGCCAGGCCTGAGTCCTCCTCCTGTCCAGGTTCTGGGCAGCAGCAATCATGAACAATGTTTGAAATAAAGGAAACTTAAAAATTTTGGCCAACAAAGGAAGCATCATAATGTTCACTGAGAACTGCCTAGAATAATAGAAATTTAGACTTTCTACTTGCCCATCCACTGGGGAGTGGATTGAAAGAGTGGAGATGCACCCGTCCTCTGGAGGAAGAGTGTCACACATTGAAAGGAACGAGACAGGTCTTCCACACCTTGTTATGGAATTATTGTGCCAGCAATGTAATAAGGACAGAAATGGAATGGCAAAATAAAATGTGCTGCTCATTTTATTTTTCTAATATATCTTATACATGCACAAGTATTTGGGCATTGAGAAGAATCTGGAAGAATATATATCAAATTTCATAGTGGCGATTTCTGGGAGGTGGGCTTAGAGGAAGGCTTTCAATTTCTATCTTGATGATTTTTTCGTGCACCACTAAAGTATTTTGATTCTTTTCAGTGAGCACATGCTCGTGTTATGCTTTACCATAAAAAGCACTTTTTTTTGCAGGGCAGGGGTTCCATTCCGGGCGATTTCTTTCTGGACTCCCAGCTGGCTCAGCTGTGCTGCCCACCTTTGCCAGGTTGTAACAATTTTTGTCACCCCCCCTCCCACCCCCGTGCTGAGTAGCTGATGCCTCCAACACACTTTGTGCATCCAGTTTCAGAGCTGAAAACAAATGAAACTCAATTGTAGTGTAGATGCTCGACTCCAACCTTGACAAATCTCACGCCAGGAACAGGGAGGGATCATCCAGCACTGGCCCCCACTCCCTCTTATATTTCCATGGAGAAGGTAATGCCGGGTGCAACTCCTGGGGCCAACAGCTCCCCCACCACCCAAAATATCATAGCCTTTCTTTCATTCCAATACCACCCTCCAAAAGTGTGCAGTCTGACTTTGTCCAGGAACAATAGCAGGGGTCTTGTTCTCAGGCAACTCAGGATTAGGCCATGATTTCTATGTCAATGGGGATGTCTTTAAACATGTGATGTTCTGTTTCCAAAAAAGAATAAAAACAGAACAGAATTCTAAGCCGTGCACCGGTTTTGGTGTTGGTGTCCTGGAGCTGAAGTGCATTAACCTTGGCAGGCAAAACTCACTGAGCACAATGGGCTTGACTCTCGGCAGTGCTGGTCTGCAGTGGGCCTCTCCATTCTCTGGCGTTATTGAGGGCCAGCCACTGTGTCCTTCTCTCTGTAGGGTGTACTTCTTTTTCTACTTTCACTTGGCCCAATCTCACTCTGCGGAGCCTGTTTCTTTTCCTACTGTAATAAAAACCTCTCTACCATTAAAAAAATTAGTGAGAGCCCCAAAGAACTTTTTGCTTATCTGCCAATATTTACTAGGAATAAAAACTGAGAAATTAAAAAATATTTCTTCATTTAAAATATAATAAGCATATTGTCAGCATAAGAAACATAATTTACAAAAATATTCCTTCCAAGCAAAAATAACGATAAGGTTGGTCTTGTTTTTCTTTTTGCTGCTCTGACTAATGTCTGGCTTGAATGGAAGGCAGCTGGATTCCCCCACCTGCACCTGCTTTCAGACTATGCGATATCACTTACCGTGTAGTCTTTGGAAAATTTCAAGTACACTCAGGAGGAAACAAGGAGGAGAAAAGCAAGTGACAGCTTAGGGTTATATAGTTTTGACCTTGAGGGAGCCTTTGAGAAGCACTGCCCTATGGCTTTGAGAATCACCCAAAGGCTTGTGGGGTGGCCTTGGCTGTTATACCTCAACAGTGCCACTTGGTGGCAGCAAAAATAAACTAAACCCTCCGCAGGTGCCGAATCTGGTAGATGGTGACCTTCGCTTTCCAGAGAGCATTTGCGCCCCTGACACTTTTCTTCCTGTTTTGTGGGTCACCACCACCTTTGTTGTTTTCCATTTCCTTCTCTGTAGTGGACACAAAATCAGACTAAGGTTCTCCTTAGGTTCCAGCCCCACATCAGCCATTGGCTACCTGAACGATCTCAGCAAACTTTTGCTCTCCCGGCCTCAGTTTTCTCATCTATAAAAATGGCCACACCGACTTCTTTTATCTTCTACCCAGGACCTCAGTAAGAATCAAGTGGAAAAGAAGTTTCTTAAACTGTCAAATCCAAATATAGGCCTTGGTGGGAGACGGGGCACTGTAACATTTCCGGTTTGGGTTTTTGCTTGCCTTCCTGTCTGGATTTTTTTTTTTTTTTTTTTTTTTTTTTTTA